ATTCTCCTCTCGGGATCTTGGGCACGCATGCACATGTGCCCGGCATGAGTTTAAGCCACCGGGTCCGGGACTCGAACCGCGGTCAACTACGTGGTAGTCCAGCGACATAGCCATTATGCTAACTGCTGGTCCCTGTAACCAAGTATTTAACATGTATATTGGAGAGTTATGGATCCGTTGAAGTGATACTCAGTTTGCACCAAGTGAAATCGAACCACATTACAGACCCATGGGCCACAGAACCCTATGGTTGGCTCTATAAGAAATGACCAGAGATGGAACTGGTCCTGTGGTTAAGGGAGCTAGACCCCACATGACCAACAGTGGTTTGACCCCAGGCCTGTTGACTCTGTGTGTGTGTGTGTGTGTGTATGCCCTAAATCCCGACAGGATGGAGAAATGGAGGAGAAGGGACTGTGGCGTGGCCACGTCCCCTTGGTGGGTGCTTTATCCCTCTCTGTCTCTCTCTGATGAGCACACACATTCTCTGGCAATTAAAAAAGAAAAAAGAAATGACAGATGTCAGCAATGTATGAGCAAAACTTAGGCCTCTAATTTCTCTAAGAGTTGTGTCCCATCCTTCTAAACCCATGTGCTGTCAAGATTCCCCAGAGGTCAGAGCCAGAGTTTAGAGTTTACCTCCTGCTCAGGACATCGGCTGCTGGGTCAGGAGATCTTTGGCCCCAGGTCACCTGATTTCACCCCCCCCCGCCCCCCTTCACATGACCCCGCCTCGCAGACCTGACTCAGCAACCTGAGCTGTGACTAGTCAGGTCCTCAGACTGGGCCTTCACGTGCGGATACCGGATGTCGGTCCTTCCAGGCTAACCTGTCCAGACAGGCTGGTAACAAGTAGGATGGATGTCAAGTTGCTTTCAGCCAAATCACGTCCCGATTTCTATCCTCTTTCTCTTTGATAAAAACCTCCACGAGTCTGGGCTGGCAGCACTAACGTATTGGTAGCTTACGTTTGCAGGGCTTGGTGGGGTGGGTAGAGAAGCCTCGCTGGTTCTCCTGGGGTCTTCTTGACTGCCCTAGCTGCCCTCTCATGTGCCAGATTTTGGGGGAGACCAAAAGACTCACCCAGAATCAAACACTGAAGCCTGATGGAACACGTGACAGGGCATTGCCCTCGAAACTTGCGGTCGAAGCAGGTTAGACATGGGAAATAAAGGGGACGCTGGCAGGTGAACCCCTGAGGCAGCTGGTGAGCTTGGACGGTGGAGCCTCCGCAGCTCAGAGGAGGGTCTGGGCACGTTGCTGCTTGCGCCGTCTCCACGCCTCTTGAGCCCCACCATCTTGACTGTGGACTTTGCTCCCGTAAATTCTTGCAATGCAGGAAATGCCCAGTGGAGATGCAAAATAATCATGTCATCTTTCACACACGTCTGATATTTCGGCAATGTTTCTAATAGCCGCTGAGGGACAAGAGTTTATCTTTCTATCT